TTGAGGGAAATCGCTTTGGCACCAATCAAAACGAAGGCGAAGCTCCACTCGATTGAAAATCCCTCAATTGCACAATAAAATTTCGATTGAAATGCACACTCAAAAGATTAGCCGACAATTGTCTTAGAAATATGAGCGACAATTGTGGAATATTTTACCTGAAATTAAAGGGAAATCTTACATGCAGTGGCAGGTGGAAGTCCCCTATCCCACTCGTATTTCCACTCGGTTTGAGTTTGAGTTTGGTACTCGTTAAAGCCCATTTAGATTTCACAGCAAATGTTTATTGCTCAAATTTCTTGTGTATACATTTTTGGGACTATTTTTGCTTGGCATATTTTTGGGGGAAATTAGCAGAATGAATTTTCCAGCCTTTTCTAATCAAGTGCTTGCCTCTTGATTTTTGTTCCATGTTGCCAGTTAATGGCCGGGGCCGATGTCACCACGAGTTATGCAGAGTTGCAAACTTAATTTCCTGTACATCTTCCACACAAAGAGCCACAGCAGCAGCAGGAGAGTAGAATGCACCACCACCTCTTGCTGCCCCGCCCTCAGATGAATCCCCCCCTGTGTGTGTCAGCTAAAATGAACAATTGCAAAAGCGAAAATGAAAATTCAGTTTACGAAATCATAAAATTTGCAAAGCAAATGGAAAGTGCGAAAAAGCCGACTTCCCCCTTGCTTTCCCCTAGGTTATCTAGTTCTCTGGGCTCCATTATGGACCCCCATCATCCCCCCTTAAGTATTCCCAATATAAACTGAAAGTGGGTAACTTTTTTCGAGGCCACCGGAAGACAAAGTTCGAACGGAGCAGGGGCAGAAGGTCAGAGCGATAGATGGAGAGTGGAGCGTGAAGCGTGGAGCGAGGAGCAAGGAGTGCAAATTTAATGGCTGGCACGTAGTCCGCAGGACACTCTGCTGAAAGGGATCCTTCTGCTGTTACTGTCCTGCTATACGCTCCTCTATTTGGCGTCGCCTTTTTACATATTTAATGAAATTATTTTCAACAATTTATAATTGCCACGAGCAGTCGAGCACTGGCCACCTTCAGTAGTACACCCCAAAGTCCTCCTGGCGGCCGTCCTTGTCTGCGTTTAGTTGAATGTGCCCCAGGGAGAATTTTGCTGGCAAACAAATTATTATTAAGATATATATATATTCATATATACATATATAAGTGGAGGATAGGTGGAGGATATGTAGATGCAATATTCCTACCTTTATTCAGTAGCCTAGTCCTATTCCCGTGGCGCTTGTTAACTTTCCATCCCCATAGCCAACGCCCCTCTGTTGTTGTTAGCTGCGTCTAGCAAGTTGCCCGTCTGGGTAATATGCGATTATATCTTTGAAAAAAATAGAAATAACAAGGAAAGCAGCGGCGCCATTGACTTGAGATATTTTCAAGTTCGAATTTGTTGAATAAATTCCAAATATTTGTGCAACAGTTTGTGGATAATTAAGCTTATTTTTTGTTTGAGTTACGAAGGAAAAAATCAACCATGAACAAGTGTCATATATAATTTATAGTTAAATAAAATGTAACTAAATTTCTAGAACTTTGAATTGCGTTGAGGAAATCTCGCTGGAAACCATGAAAAATTGAATTTAATTGTTATGGAAGTTTTCATTCTGAAGAAAATGTTAAACAAAACATACGAGTATTTCAGATAGAAGATAGATGATTTATCACAGGCAAAATATATCTTTAATTGAAGGCACTCCACATCCACCTGCTTCCCCATATACTCAACACAGATAGATGTATACTGGATATCTGTACCCTTCTGCGTAGTTATAAATACTCGTGAATCTATCAATAGAACGTTGTTGTTGTTGTTGTTTGTGTGTGTGTGTGGGTAAGGCTTTTTGGTTCTTTGATTTGGCACGTAATTCGTTCGCTTTGTGAGTGGCAGACGAAAAGCTTTTGAATTTTTAATTGGACATGCACTCGTGCGTGCCCCACTTCCCACACGCCCACGCCCTCCGGCATGGAAAAGTGTTGCAATGATAACAATTTTTGTATCTTTGCCCCATATCCCTTTTTCGGTCTCGGCCTGTCTGCTGCTGCTTATCATCTGACAGGCCCCGGGCTTTTGGATGAGGAACCCTCATCAAAACTGAGATACGTCACATTATATCGAGCTAAAATCCGCTTACAAGATTGTTGAGAGCCTGAGGACTGGCAGCATGAGAGGGAGCGAGTGCCAGAACAAACATGGTCGAAAAATCTATTTCGTATTGACCCATTTTCCCTGTCACATCTGGCTAACAGGGGCCAACGGGCGCTGAATTGATGAGGTGGGGGGGAGGTACTTCTGTTTGTCATTAAACTTGAATCAAAACCCAAAACAGACATTAACACACTCGCACTCACAAAAACATTCGCATTAATCAAACTTGGCTAATATTTTGCGTTTATCCATTCCCCCCACCCCACCACCTTATTACGGTGCAAAATGTCAGCTAATGTCAATAATTTTTGGGGCTCGTGTGCCATTCGGAAATGCCAGCCAAAGTGTTTGACAGTCATTGAAATAGTTCCGCGCTGGGGGCCCAGCAGCCATTATCCTTATCCCTTATCCGAATTTAATTTGAAATTGTTTGTCTAACTTTTGGGTAAGCTGCCAACGAGCTGCCTCGCATACCTGGTACATACTGTCGTCGTGTTCGTCTGCTCATGAGGAATTTTCAGTTTTTTCATACGAGTTTTTTTTATGCATTATTAACCTGTTTTCATTCTCATCCTGCCAACAGTTTAGATGCTTTCATTATGCCAATCCTCGTGATATCCACTTGGCTATTCCGCTTGCACATCACGTCCGCGATCATCAACAAGTTAATTACAGCTATCAAAAAAGTTCCAAATTATATTCCATTGGTTGCCAGCAAAGTTTACAATTGCACTGCAAATTTTGATCACAAATTTCTGCCAAAAAAAATTCAATTATAAGGGCTCGCTGAATTATATCCGTTTTTCAGTTTTTATCCTCTTCAAACCCAAGAGTAGAGTAATGTAAAACCGAATTAAGATTGTCTCTAAGATGGCTAATTGTAATAGTATTATTATGAATATTATTTACTCCATTTAAATATTATTTTTAATCCGTCAATTTGTTTTTACTTTCCCCCCCCCCCCCCCCCCTCCCCAAAAGTTGAAAAGTGTTGGACCTGCTGGCACTGATGCTGGTAGTTTTCCTCTGGCTTTGCACTTCACAAAGCTTCGAGTCCCTGGCTTTGGACTACATTTTTAATTAGAATGTAACCGGAAATTGTAAGCCAGATTGAATATCCACATCGTGGAAATAATCAGAAACCAATTGGCCATCCTTTCACCTTCGGTTCGCCTTAAGTCGTTTGCCTATTGCATAGTTGATCAAGTGATTGAATATTAATTAATATTAATATTAATTTCAAGGGCTCCAATGATCTGTGAGGGTCTCAAATGCCAAGGGCCCGAGAAGCAGCCTTATTTTCATGTTTTTATTGGCTGACGGCTAGCGTGCTTCCTGGCAGATGTTTCCATTTTGTACTCGTGTGTATATACATTGGAGTGCTGTTATTGTTATTATTATTATTGTTGTGTAATATTCTCATGATTATTGTTATGGTTTTTGCATTTTAAAACAAATGAGACTCGACTATGTTTGTGTGTGGCCAAAATTACCCGGAAATGTTACATTTTATGTTCCTTTAACTGCCTGTCCGTTGCCCATCAATTTTACTAACTTCTCAAGACAGCAAAATGGTGAGCTTGAGCGGGAGGGAGAGAGGGAAAGACAAGCTCGTGGAACATAAAAATCAAATTTCCGAATAAATTGTTAGCTCAACATTTATATATCCTTGCCAGGCCACGCACTCAGGGAGCATGCCGGGTGGATATATTGTGTTCGTTGAGGAGGAGTTGGACAATTAAATAAGTCAATCTGGGAGTATATAACAAAAATAGTATGCATTTGTTTGATTTTTGCAATATTTAATATTCGATTCAAAGGCAAACAGAATATATTTATCGTATTTAGAAGGTTTTTCGCTTTTATAATATTTTGCTATATATGATTTCTTCGTTACTTTATATACAATCCATGATATCTGCTGCCCGGTCTTAAGCCTTTTTAAATTATGAAAGCTTCAAGAGCAAAGACAGCAGAGGGTATGGTTGTGGTTGGAACAGACGGCTCATGCGTCCCTTTTTTTTTTTTTTTTTTTTTGTTTTGATGTTTTTGGTTTATTTATGCGTGTGTGTTGCAAATTGAGTAATTATTGCCTGGCAGATGATTTAGCGGTGATGCCTCCGAATATCCCCGATGCCTCATGCCCCTTACACCACCCTTAACACAACACAAAGTACTAAACATGTGAGTTTGTTTACCCATTCGAGCAGAATTGCCGATGATGCTGTTGTCGATGTGGGGAATCGAAGATACATATGTACTTACATATGTATGTACATATGCGTATGCATATTTTATGAATTTCAATTTTCAAGTGATTTTACAGGGTGGGTTGGACTGATGCTCGAGGAAGTTCGGCAATGGGTGCCATTGGGGCACCAGTAGGCACCCCGTATGCTCGCTGAATAAGAAGCGAAGACAAGTCTTGATAGCCGAGCATCTAGATACACTTTAAAAGGAAAAGTACTCCTATGTGGTACCTTTCGGTACAAATACAAATGTGTAAAAAAAATGGTGCAGCTAAGGGAAAAGCTTGCACACTGCAGAGGGACTATGGGCTATAATTGGGCCATTAATTTGATTGAGTTATTAATTATTACTTCACTCCTCTGCTTGGCAAACGTCTGGCAGGCATCAGCAGACTCTCTCGACGAAAGTGTGTAGACCGAAACTGAAACCGAATCGGGAACGGCAAAGGCAAACCGCACAAATGCTCGAGTCGAGTTTCAGTTTCAGCGATTAGAGCGTCGCAGTGATGGGTGAGATGGCTGACCTTGGGGGACGGCTGATAAGGGAGGAATAGAAACTAGAATTAGAATAAGAATTACAATTTCAGCTGTGTGTAGAACTGCGCTCCGTCAGTTGCCATTCCGTTGTGCACAATGAAGCTTCTATTGGTGGTCTGTACGCTCCTGTCGCTGGCCCTGTGCCTTGTCCCTGGCCAGGCGAGCGTTGTCCGTGGGACTCGCGATGCCACCGATGCTGCCGCAGATGCCGCTGACGTTGCGCTTGGTGCTGACTCCACCGAGAACGAGGTGAATATTGACTCTGGCGAATCGCAGGAAGCGGTCACCGTACCGCTGGGCATTGCCTCCATCAAGGCACGCGTCATAGCCAAGGATCGAGCCCTGTGCCAGCAGCTGTCTCGCTACCATCCCCACTATCCCAAGTGCCACGAGTACTGCAAGCGGCAGGACCATTGGATAGGCCAGTGCTGGAGGGAGAGCTGTCACTGCATATCGTAGGATGTATGTAAATACATATCTGTCGCACGCAGCAGCAGCAGCAGCAGCAGCAGCAGCTGTCTCTGTGTCCAATAGATGTAAATGCAATTGATGAAAATACAACACAAGCTTTATCTTGTAAGCTGTCGAATGTATCTGTGAAATTTATCTGTCAATATATTTGTTGAATATATGTATGTATGTATATACCTATGTATTCTGTGGAGCTGTGGCGCTGTGCTAACTGTTCCGCATCCGTTTTGCTTTCTATTAAATTTGAAAATTTGTCTTAAAAGTTACTTTTCGTCGTCTTCATTTCCTGCTTGGCTTTAGCTAATTAATCAAGTTTACCAAACTTTCGCACAACCGGAAGCAACTGAACTTGTTCATTTCCAATTAGTATTGACCCAAAAGGCCATCAAAGTAGTGAATACACCCAACCCCCTTCCCTACCTGCCTGCCTGCTCCTCTGACGCGAGTCACCCGTTAAACACGCCCCTTCGCATTCACTCTTACACTTTCTGGCGCAGAAGCAGACATTTTTGTAACAATTTTAATTGCAGAAAATAATGAAGAAAAAAAATGAATAGAGAATTTAATTTAATTTAAAATAATAAAATAAATAAATAAATGACTAATAAATTGGGGAAAATTAATAGAACAAGTATTTGTATACAAATGAAACCGAAAAGGTATATAACAAATTTATATATTTATTCACATAGTATTATGTATACTAAATATGCCTTTTACTTGATGGCTGCTTCTATCGCCCTCTAATGTGTATCTGTTTCTGCGTGTGTGTGTGTGTGTGTGTGTCTGTTATGATCGCGTTATCAAATCTTTTATATGCTTATTTTTTCTATATTAAATTAAAATATGAGAAAACAAAAAACAACAACAACAAATAAATAATAATAAAATAATACACGTCAATTGATTGCTCAGTGGAACCAAACAACACCGGCAACAATCACATTGTGTCAGATCTCGTAACATATGAAAACAACATTTCCTTGTTGGATTACATTTACCTAATATTTACCTAATATTTACCTAAGATTTACCTTATATTTACCTTATATTTACCTAATATATAAAAGTACAATACTTCAATGAGACTGAAAATTTCGCGAACATTTGAAATACTCTCTGCTGGGGTATCCCAAAAGCTAACAACAATTTTCCAGCTAAGCGCTATATTATGTTTTTTCTTTATATGCGAAAATGAAGCAGAAGAAACCCCGAATAAAAGCTGCAGAAGAGGACTGGGCCTCCTAGTGGAAACAGTGGAAAAACATAAATGTGTATTCGGCGTATTTATTTAATCACATTTTAGACGAATATCAATGTCAACCTCCCCACCACTCAGCGCATAAAACGATAAAAATCCACTACGATTGGGGCTCTGCCATAAAGGCGCGTTAGGGGGGAAAATTTCAATAAAAAAATCAACATCAATAGCAAAACCAAAAGGCGCATTTCATAATCCATAGTCCGAAAGTGATGAGTTTGCAAGAAAACGAATGATTGATCCTCATACACACGCTATGCTGAAAAAAGGGAATCTAAGCATAAAACTTAATTTCTACATATGTACATATGTATAGTGTACATATCTACATATACAAATTTACGATCGAGCTGTAAGAGGAGCCTCTGCATATATGTATCTAATCTGTGCAGCTTGCAGCAAGCGTAAACAATTCGTTGTTCATGCTCGAAAATGGTCAGCCTTCGATGGTCTTCAGCTAGCCTTTAGCCTTCAGTTGCCTTTGAATGCTGAACGGATCTGGAAGATCGATCGTGGAACATCATCAGCATTGAAGTGTGTGCAAAAATATTTCAATTTTGCGAATAATAGAATAAAATTGAACAACAAACAACAAATTTTAAACGAATTCCGATCAACCTTTGAAGTGACAAACAATATTTTAACCAAGCGGAGAAACGGAATAGACGCATGCAATAAATGTCTGCATAGCAGTATACTGGATATATACATATGTATATAGAACTAAACCACAGTTAAATCCCCTGCCAGTTATGCCATTCCATTTAAGTTCTGGTCAATCAATGCTCAAAGTATGTAAATTGCTCGTTAAATGAGAAATCCATCTTTCAATAAACTGACAACTAATTTGGATAAATCTAGGGCACACATAATATATACACACATACATCTGTATATGGTGACAAATATGGCTATGAAGCGAGCAACAGCAGCTGACAGCCAGCATAATTATCGTTATCCTGAGAGCTTATCGGGCAGCGCACAAACAGACGCACACTGGGGCACAGAATAGAAGGACGAAAGCCGAAAGCCGATTAGATAATTTATCGTTTTGAACTCTGATTGTGTGCCCCCCCCCCCCTTTTCCGGCATATACTCGTACCATATATGTACATATGTATATGTATAATCCTGACTTACATGCTGCTCAAAAATAGTATTCGTAGTTATCTAGGCTTGGGCTGGGCTGGGCTGGGCTGGGCAGGGTATTGGGGCTGGTGTGCCCCATATTCGAGCACTTGTCGACTAATTGGGTTACACTTGAGTCAACACAGCGATTATGGCGTTTTGAGGGTGTGTGTGTGTGTGTGTGGGAAGAGCAAAAGCTGAAGCACACACACACATACACACAGGGATAGTGGGTACTCACATGAATTTGGACAAGATTGTCAAACAATTACATGAGTTCGCAATTAATTTGTCTGCACAATATGAGAAGAGCCCTAAACCTCCATAACGCCGCCCCCCCCGCCCTTATTACTAGTATAATTCCTGCGAGTGTTAACCATTACACAGGCCCCCATGTGAACCAAAAATATCCGCTACTAGTGTTGTTTAACGATGCATAAACGTATATATATATATTTTAGTCGAGTAAATATGTACGGTGTACTTACATAGTACCAAAACGTAATTAGCAAAATGTCTATGCCATAATTAATTGGAAATAAACTGCAAGCAAATCAGAAATTACCAATTTGGCAATCAGCACTATAAATTCTCTCCAGCACTTTCGTCCGATCAGCCCTAACCAATCGAGATCTTTGACTATTTAGGTTCATGGTGTTTTCCGTCCGTTCGACAGGGTCGTTGGTGGGGTTAAGACTGCAAGCTGGCGACTCCGTTCACTGTGATAATGAACGTGCCCGTGGGGGGATATGTTGTAGTGGACACTCCTGACGCCCCCTCCGGGAGGCAGGTGTGCCCATAGGTCATATCAATATGCCACACATATTTGTACACATCCCGCACACACACAAACAAATACACACACACCATGAAGATACAGAAATCTTGTAATCTATTCAAATGACAATCAAGTTTGTGTGTGTGTGTGTTGTGTATTTTGACATGAGCTTGTTTCTTGCTCTGCCTTTTGACACTGTCCCCTGCATAGCTTTCCCTTCCACCTGCCCACCCGCCCACAGCAACATTTAGATGATAGATTCAAATGCGATTTATTTGCAAAATGCTGGTTCAAGTAATGGACGGCAGACAGGAATAAATTGATAATATGCAACAAGGATATTCAGACATACGTATTAAGACATCCGTTTCGTATTGTTTAAAAAAGTAACAACTGATGGTTGATTTTTAAATGCAAAGCCAAAAAAAAACCCAATGGCATATATGTACATACATATGTGCATAATTCTGTGCCGATACTCTGTTCTTAGCCGATTGAAACTTAAGTTAAGAAAAAATATATTATTTAGAATTAAAGCCAATTGAAAGTCTCTCGTAACAATGGCTCCGCTCTATTTGGTTGAGTATATATGTACATATGTATAGTAACTGGTGGCAGGGCAGGGCAGGGCGATTGTCAAACTGTACGAGGCAGCAGCCCATTCCCAGGGAAGGCAGGGTATGGCCTGTGTCGGTGCTGCTGTGTGGGCTGCAGAATACTTTTGATTTAATTTGTGAACAGACTGTGCTGGGCTGGGCTGGGCTGCAGACAAATCAGAAGTGCTCGCATTTTGTAATTTTGATCACGTTTCGTGTAATTAAAACTTAAGACAGACGGGGAACTGGGAAATGGGAAATGGGGAACTGCAAACTGGGTTGGATAAGCAGCGTGGGCAGAGAACGGGAACGAGAGCACAACTACAGCCGTTCGGCGGGGCATGGGGCATGAGGCGGACAAATCAAAAAAGTTACTCAAGATTTCCTTTCGTTTGTAATTTTTAATTTCATTGTGCTGCTGTGGCTGCTGGTGCTTCTACTCCACCCCACAACGCAACGGAAAGTTTCCAGCGAACCAACCGCCAAGAGCCAGGACATTCCGTACATAAATCAGTCAGCCAGGCCACCTGCTAGGCGCGGACGGGGTGGTAGCCAGGGACAGATCCTACAGATGGGTTGCGGCACAAGTCACTTGGCTAACTATGCAAATGAGTGTGAAAAATTGCTTAAGTGAATTCAAAGTTGTAACATCAATTTGAATAGTTCTCAAATTCAATTTGTCACAGCTGACTGGTGGAATCAGAGCGTGCGTCCTGCGGGCAGGATCATACATACGTATATCCAAATCGAATCCAAACCGAATAAAGCCCAAAACGAGAGAGAGCCTTCCCCTCTCTCTTCTCTGCTGCTCTGATGAATGATTTCTTTGACGGTGCTACCCAGTGCCACTTTGTTCTGGCGATCTGGCAACGATCTGGTCGAAAGCTGCCTCTCTGGTTCCACCCGTGATTTTTGGCACTAGTTCGGTACGTTGTGCTGAGGCGTCTGGGCGTGCAAGAGTATTTTTTTTGTGTATTTAAATAGAATATATCAACCGCATATTTTCACAATTTTTGTGTATTTTAAATTTGAAAAAGGCGCAAAGAAGAAAACTCGCAATAGCGGAGAAAAGGCAACGCAACCAAAATTGATTTCATTTTCATCGCCTTGGCCATAGTTGAGGAGCAACAACAAACGAGGTAGAGTACATACATACATATACATACATACATACATACATACATACATATACATACATACATACATACATATGCATACATATGTACACATATGAATTGTAGTTGGATTTGTTTCGGGGATTTTCTGTATTGCAAAATTCGACTCTATCTCTCTTTCTATCGATATTTACCGATAGTGCCATCGATGCCCTACTTCTTGCCGCTTCGTTTTATGATATTTTCGCTGTACAAGCGTTTTCCATATTTGTCTCGCTATTGCATCACTTTTTTGCGCTACTCCTTTTGGTCTTCCTTCCATCGCCTTCTATCCGCAACAGCAACAGCAACAACGGGCGACTCTCGCTATCTCGCTCTAAGCAAAAAGAAAACCGCGCATAAAGGAATAACGAATTATACTGCTGCTGCTGCGTAGTTTCTGTTTCTGTTTTCGTCTCTCTCTTTGATCTTTTTCTTACTGCTACACACATTTCAGCTTAGCAACTGCGTCATTTCGTTTCGGTTCGCTTCATTTGTGGCAAAAAATATTGATTTTATTTTCGAATACGTTTTCTCCTGGTGGTTTGGTAGAATCGCAAATTGTCAAAATGGATTTGATGGATCTAAAACTGGAGAACCTGCTTGGGTACGACCCCGACACGAAGAGTTTCAGGGGAAATCCCCCGATTGGATACTATCGCCAGCCGCTGGCAAGTGAATATCCGCTGGACCTAGGACGGGGCTTCAATCAATTCATTCCCCGAAACGGAAACTTTCCACGCGCATTCAGCACCATCCAGCACCATGTTCTGCATCTACGGGAGCCGCGCCAGCTGCTCAACAATACGGACTTTTTTCTCAATCGCGGCACAATGCTGATGTTCATGGGCGATCGCACTTTCCGCAAAGAGATGAACTTTGCAGCCTGTCGCTTCAAGGGCTGCATCTATGTGCGGTCCCTGTGGGAAGATTTCGACGAGCGGCCGCCCTTCGTGCCACGCATATCTGAATCGTATTCCTACAAGGCACGCCAGTACGTTTTTACCCGTAAGTACATATATACATAGCTGCACCCAAGCTAGCCCAGCCATGCCAAGCAACATCGTTGAGTAACCTCAAACTCAATTTAGGTTCTCCGGGCGAGCCGCCGAACCTCGATGCTCCAGTGGATCAGCGCAAGCAGATTTATGGAATCTTCACGGCAAAATTGGGAGACTTACGACTGCTCTACTCGGCAGAAGTTAGTGGCGTTTCGAACACCGAACCACTTGGCGATCTGTGAGTCCATAAAGAACTTCTGTTGCCTCCACATTGCTATTAACTCCGCATTATTCCACAGCGACGATCCGGAGGTGCTTAAGAAATGCCAGCTGGCCTCACTGAGACTAAAATTCAATACAACTGATGCAATGCCCTTATGGCTCATGCAGGCCTATTTGGGAGGCATCGATCACCTGGCCATCGCCGTCAAAACTGAGAGCGGCTGCGTGTGCCAACCAATTGAAGTGGTGTCCAGTGCCATGGTCATAAGGGTGAGTAGACCTCTCCCCTCAATGATGAATCATGCCCGTGACGGTTTGTCCCCCTCTTCCTGGCAGAAAATACAATTTAACATACACGATCGCCTCAAGGCAATGCATAATATTCTTCAGAAGATCAGCATGAGGATGGGTGAAGAGGACGATCCTACAAAGGAGTTAAAATTCCAGTTGGGCCGTGGCTCGATTTTATTTGCAGATCAGTTTGAGTCAGTTCAGCCACCAGGGCATTTTGATCAGCAGTTCATCGATTTAACCAATCAGTTGTACAGCCCCATGTAGGTTGTTCTTTCCGACAAAAAAAATATGTAGAATTAGTTTTCCCCTTATGCTACATAGTGAGCAAATTTAACACGCACTTCGAGTGCATTTTTGAGACATTTAAAATGTCAACGTAAAATTTCTAATTTGGTTTTCACGAGAATTTTACAAACAAAAAAAAGAAGAAGAAGAATAGTTTGTTCTGTTATGGTAAGCAGGTTTATTGTTAAAAAAAGAATGTAACCTTGTTTGTTACCCGTTGGCTTCCATAAAAGGGAAGATACCTTGCTATCCCATAGCCTTATTATATTGGCGAATATCCCTCCATTTATAAATAAAATTTCATTTTGGCCTGTAGTCAAAAATATTTTTTTTGTATTGATTTTTTTTTGAAATAAAATAATGCTTTTATTAATATGTAATAAAAATAATATTAATATAAATATAAATAAAGATGTACTACTTATATTAATGTAAATGTTAATCAAGGCGCCAGCTTGACTTTGAATAAGCCGCAGGCTGTCGACCCCTGTCTTAGGCGAATGGGGGCACTATTTGATTGAAACTCTGTCTAAATTTAGTTGCAAGCCTTAGTTCAATTGTGTGTGTTACTGGCCAATTTGGGGCGTATCCATTATGGGCATCATAACTCTCATCGATATCATAATAAGCTCGTGAATATTAGAGCACAGCCTCACACACACACACACACTGTCAGACAAAAGCTTATTGGGCTGGTCTGGTGGATATGTTTAAAATTTAATGCGATGACAGTAAGGAAGGCAGAGGCAGTTGGCGGTGGCAGCAGCAGTAGCGACTGCTGACTGATGCCTGGCGATGATGAAGATATCTTTGGCCGTGCATACAGTGCGTTTCATAGCTTTAGGGCCCTATGAATGATTTTTTATGCCACATATATGTATGTATGTATATCAATGTTTGCAATTAAGTCAAATATTTGCTACTTTAGCCTTTAGTCCACGATGCATTTTGCATTGAATTGAACTGTCCTTAAGCCTGCGAAACGCACTGTCAACGGGATGCTCTCTATGATTCTCTTGAAGGCGTGGCCGGAAGGCATCAGAGCATAGAGATGAAGGAGCCGCCTTCTGCTCCTGCTGGGCTGACTCCATGTGCTCCTTGTGTGTGGTCTGTGATTAAAATGATATTTTCAGACAATGTCAAACAGCGTGTGACTAATGGGTCTATGGGTTGTCCGAAATGTCTGTTATTACTTGATAAATCTTGTCGGTCACACATTTTGGCATGGCACAATGGCCAACATACACACACACACGCACAGACACACACACACACTCCCATGCATATGTGTAGAGGGGCGTTTGTTTTATGCAAAACCTTGGCTCCTTGCTGAATGCCCTGGTCCTGGTCCCTGCCCTGCCCTGCCTGCCCTGCTTGTCCGCATTCTGCTCTAATGACAAATGGGTCAAACATTTTGCGGCTAATGACACAAAATATGTTTGTTTCTGCCTATAAATTTTATGCATAAATAAACCAAAAGCGAAAGGCAAAAAAATTCATGCAAGAGAGAACGAAAAAAAATAAAAAATAGGAGTAGTAGGAAACTACTTATGATTGAAGACCCTCGGCCAGGGACCCTTTGCAGCTGGGCTACGGCTCCCAGACCCAGGGCCATTAATCAATGGCCAAATAAACATGAAATTTGCCTAAATTGACATTGGTGGGTATCGATTTGCTCTCGCCTCCAGAAGGGTCACATCGTGCTATATAAAACGGTCACTCTCCGCTAGGTAAATGGTCGTGAGTACTCCCCTTCATGCTGCTGCTGCTGCTGCAGTTTCGTATTGCGTTTAGCTCTATTTAAAAAATATTGATCTGTCGGTGGATGTGTGATTCAGAAATGATCAAGGCCTGATGAATTATATGGAAGTAGGCCGTCGGCTCTGGGAGCTCTCAGCTTCGGCTGGGAGCTCTCGCGGTCGGTTCTCTTCGGGTCGAACCGCGTCATAAGCCAGAGCAGGGTGAATTTATTAATAAGGCGACGTCCGTACACTCTCTCTCTCTATCTCGGCTCTCAGAGTGACAAGTGCTAGAAAGAGATCGAAAATGTTCAGCTTGGTGTGCATGTGTGTGCCCCAAACTTCGAACCCCGAACTTTTTCTCCGGATTTTTAGGTATTTTTGGCAAAAACTATTCACTAAGCCAGAGCCTGCGAGGACAGTGTAATGAAGACAAATAAAGTCAATTCCTGTTGCGCCCTGACTCCATGACTCCAACTGTGCTGCAATGTGATGTATTATTTACACTATTTAGTTGGTCAATTCAAATACAATAACTTCGATACAAAGTAGGTGACAGGGAACAGGACTCAGGGCATGTGGCATGTGGCCTGTGGCCTGTGGGTATGTGGCACAGACGAGTATCTAAATGGAGTACAGCAAGGGTTAGACCAAGGCAAACATAATCGTAACAAAGCAAAGGGCAAGAGACCAGAAGAAAAAATAAAAACACAAACTAAAAACTGGCCAACACGAAGCCAGGGATGCGCTTAACAGTTATAAATGATTGTAATTAGACTAAAGGAAACAACAATTCAAATTATTTTAATTTTGTCTAACGTGTTTTTCCTGGGTGCCAGCATCTATCGTATGTATTACGTACATCCACTGACCAGAACTTGTGTGTGCATATGCCCCTTCTGCAGGGTATTGCACATGTACATGTACATGGAGACCTAAACAAATATGCAGCGAACGTGACAGTGGGTTGGGCGGAGTGCTGGGCGCAACAGGAATTGACTTTATTTGTCTTCATTACACTGTCCGCCCAGGCTCTGGCTTAGCGAATAGTTTTTTGCCAAAAATGGAAAGCGAAAGAAAAACCCAAAACCCAAAACCAAAACAAAAAAAAGAGTTGGGGTAAATTCAAATACGCGCGCAGCTCGCAGAACAATCGAAGGCCCCGCCCCCCGGGGCTCCCGCGCCCCACCCCGGTTCAAGGGTATCCCACAGCTTGGGCATCCAATTTTTGGGCTTTTTTTTGGGTTTTCTGCTGCTTTGCGCTTCCGCTTCTATGACTGTCCAGATTGGGCAACACTAAGGGTGGCACGGGGATGGGGGCAGATCGGGTGTAGCTGTTGTCCTGGCAAGTTTTTTGTGGCTTTGCCTGGATAATCTCCCATGCACGGCAGGACAATGCCATGCAGGGGCATTATCATGTGATATGTGAACAAACTTCTTGTATTCCCTGGGACTTGCATCTGCATGTAAATGGGGCACTGGCTGTGACCACAGGGAGCAGTTGGCCGAGCGATCACATCGCATCGCATCGCATCCAAAACTCTGAAACTTTTATCAAAGTTTTCATTACCAGAACTTGAGTTGGGTTTTTGTCTTCTTTTTTTCCCCTCTACGAATTAGCCAGAAAACAAAATAAAATTTTAAATTTGCTTAAATGTTTGCTGGTGTGGCGGAAATGAATCAAATATTTCTGACTATTTCGCTTTAATTGGGCTGGACTTCATCTATTTATCAGCGGGCTGTAACTGTTGCTGCTTAGCTGGGGAGTGGCTCGTAAAAAGAAAAGCCATTTGGCTGCTTGTTGTCAGCATAAACGGGATCAGCTTGGCATAATGAAATATGCCCATTCCCCCATATACATACATACTAGACCGCTGCCTACCAACGTCCTAAGTCAACACCTTGGGCATCGCGAGAAGAGCCGAGAAAACAGAGAGAGAGAGACCACAAATATTGCTCACTTCCGTTTCCGCTCTGCGCACACCTTTTGCGGTAATAAGCTGCAATTTTATTATTACATTTTGGTGAAGCAACTTTAAGAGGTGCCCCTACCCATCAGCATCCCCAAGGCTTTCACTGTCTTGCCACTGCCCGAAACTCCACTTGCCACTTGCCACTCGCCACTCGCCACCTTTCCACTTGCCATAACAACCACTGCGGCAGCGTTGCTGCCACAGAGCTGGCCGCGATGCCTGTGCGTGGTAATTTCAGATAAATGAGAATACATAAACAAAGAACTCATTAAATTCAGCAAGAAGCAACCTGGCCACAAAATACACCAGCCACGGTCCAGCCACGGTACAGCCACGGTCCAACCGCGCTCCGGCAGCTGTGGGCTTTGCACCTGAGCCTGGCCAAGTGCATTTGCATGCCACAAGATGAGCTGCAGGCCAGGACAGGACAGGACAGGACAGGTTTGCCTGTTGTCATGCGGCTTGAGCAGGGATGCTCGACATACCGGTACAGGCTCGGGCTGGCATGCTCGACATGTCAGGAGCGCGCTGCAGGGCCGCGATTCATGTCTGGCGGCGCAAACAAGCACCCAAAGCGCCCAGCGCCCAGCGCTGGAACTCTGGGCAGCTCCAATCACTGGGGCGTCGTTCATTGTTTGATTTTATAATAATTTCGTTTATGGCATTGAAGCGATTTGCACTTAAAACTTTAAGTTCTCGCCTGCTAGGGGGCGCCGGGCCAGGGCGCTTCATTACCATTCAGTCAGGGTTGCCAGGGTGCGTGGAGGGGGACTGGGTGGGAGGCTTCTTCTGATGACTTGTGGGCAGAGTTGCCTTTTGTTTCGGTCGCGACTTTGCATTGCCAATTAACTGAAAGACGACAGAGGCTGGGGGCAGGGACTCGACCACGGCCCGAGGGGCTTTCAGTGGGTGGGCACTGGAAAAGAGCAATGGCAAATTGATTTAATGGTTAAGTAACGGTAAGCAGGCAAGCAGGCCGAGTACCATAATGCGACTCTCCATTATTAAAGCACCGAAAGACACTTTCTGGGCGGGCCGGGCTGTGCCCATTCCCCATTCAAGCACAGCGGTAAGGAATCTCTAAAAATTGTTTTCGGTTTACTTGGAATTAAGAAACGTTCAGGGGAAGTTGCCAAACAAAAATATGCCAAAATATCTGCCGAACTTTGAAATCAGAAATAGCTAAAAATATTTCTGAATTGCGGCAGCAACGCAGAAAATTGTTGCTGATTCTTGCTGTATTTCTCTGTCTTTTTCCCCACTCCCGCCGAATTGAAATTTTCATTTCTTAATAATTCCCCTTCTGTGCTGCTGGAATGCCTTTGATTATTGATACAACTGCCGGGGCGAAGGCTGCACACACAGCCTTTATATGGATTATTTGCAAGAAAAAAAAAACACACAGCGAAAGA